TGTCGCGAGTATTAAATATGTGTTGGTAATTAGCTCGCTTCCAGGAAAGCAACGTGAGCGCTCGCCGCGCACCGCGGTGCAAGGGGTAGTGAAGTGAACAAATGCCACAGTATCATTTTTATTTCCTAATTTATTTTTTACATTGTTTTTGACATTTTGTGTGTCTTTACATTTTCTTGTCGTTGTAGGCTATTTTATTTAACTACAGTAGAATGACGATATCGCAAATGTTAAGCAAAAGGCAAATCTTGACTAATTGAGTCTTCGATTTAACAAGAAGGTAGGAGAAACTTTGGAGTCACTCACGCAAGCGCAGCAGGTTCAAACGTTTAATGGCGGCGATTTTAGTGAAACCGCTAAATTAAATTGTTTGTATGAAGTTGTAATTAGTAATATTCGTCGTTATGTAGGCAAGTGGTTTAGTTTAATAAATAACTCAAAAATGAGGTAGGTTCTCAGCTCAAGCCGCGCCGCTCTACGCGTGCAAAAAAAACGAGCGTTCCCAGGCCGTTCGCGCTGCGCCCTGCGCTCCTCCACGAGCCTGACAACGTACTTAGCTATGTCTTAAATATAAAATGTACTAAAACAGGTAACATAATAACAATTAAGTACATGATGGTTACAATTATCTTTACATGATTCTCATAACAAACAATACTCTAAATAATAGAACAAACCTAAAATCCGTTAGAGATGAGATTTTTGCCACCACTAGCTTTGTTGGGCGTGGTCACGGGCTTATATATCGCGAACTCAATGAGACTAATCGTGGCAAGAATCGCTTTGGTATTAAGATGTAAAAAACACATGTGAATATCCAATTGCACAACAGGATAATACCAAATGAATTTAGAAATACATACATAGATTGTAGGGCAAATAAAATAATAGAAACATTTGCAGTTGCAGGGAGAAAGTGCTTTTATCGGTGGATACGGGCCGCGCGCTAGGGGCGACCGGTTGCATCAGCGCGCCGGCAGGGGCGCTGCTTGTATTGTGCTTTAACATTTCTTCCGAAGGAAGTACAGAGAGAGAGGAGAAACAAAAGCTTAATCTTCCCTCCACTTCCGCCGATCTTTTTTTGCCAAACCATTGCTTACTGTTTCCTTGCTACATATATGTAGGTGCGTTGTGGTTGTGACGCAACTTTCTATACTATAGAGGTGGAAAGATACTTCATAGTACGCCGGATATTTTCAAAACGATTATGAAATAAAAGATGTTTAATTATTTGCTAAACATGTGTGCAATGTTGTGCACACAACTTACGTATGTACATAAGTTAAGCGCTTAAAGTTTATTAGGTTTACATCAAATGGTTGAAAAACACAACACGGAAAAACACATTCAATTAAACAATTTAACAAATAGCAGAGTCGCGTCTTAAACATTTAGCGAGCACAATTCCCGCAGTATATAATTATGGAAGTCTTGAGCCGCGCCTTAGATCACAACATTGTACGACGGCGACGGGCTGCGACAAATCCCGCTAATGACCGTTTACCTCCTTGACGCAGGCCCTCACGTCTTCACGAGCCGCGCGAGCCTCAATTACAGGGAGGTTTTTGCTTTAATTAGCTGGCGTGAGATGCACCACCCCGACCCTCCGCGCCCGTGAGTACTCCACAAGCATCCGCCCGCCTCGTTTATTATAAAATTAAATCGCAAAAAGCACTCTGTTAACATTTTATTGCGTAGTCTACAAGCAATTCAACGAGATACGAATGCGGCTCATCTCCCGCTTCATGGCTCACTGCGCTCCAACAACATGGATCCTGCATTTTTTGAACGCTTTGAACTATCTTTGTACAGTAACTGGAAATACCTATACATAAAAAAATTAAACTTTAAGAGAATAAGGCCATGGTATTTGCCTATTTCCATCACAATCACATAGCTTTACAATCAGTAATATTAATCAATATTACATATGTTGCTTTGTACATTCTGCTCGAGCTAAAATACCTTTCATTTAAAAATAGCAATGTGAAAACATACAATCGCCGATTCGACGAGCAGTTTTTGCGAAGGCTTAAAGTTAAATATAATTTGCATCAATTCAGTAGACAATAGAATCTCGATATCTCAAATGTCCAGAGAAACCCAAAAAATATCAACTTAATGAGTCTTCTACTTACTACTAAATATACATTCAGATTGAACGCGCTGTTGCGGTGGCGTGCGCAGGCGCAATCGCAGGCGCGTGCTCACATTTGCCGCAAGGCGTTTGCGCGATGTTTTAGTTTAAACAACTTACCTGACGTTGCGAATAAATCGCGCGCTCCGATCTAGTTCGACGTAAACACTCGCAACTTATGTATTATATGTTTGTTAGAATTCTCGTCAACGAGAACAAGCACTTATAACTAAGCGAAGTGATTTCGCTCGCAGCGCGCGTACCGTTGTGTACCGCCGCGTGTCCGTGTGCGGCGTGCTGATGTTAGTTTTAACATTTGAAGAAAGTTTTGATGGGAAATGTAAAAGGATAATAAAAACTCCGTATCACTTCGACAAAACTTGGTAGAATCATATAATTTTATTATAATAGTTAATAAATATTTATTTCATGCTTTTATTAGGTTTCTGTGGCCCGATGCTTGTCATCTTCAATCTTGCAAATAATATTTGATCAACATCCAGGTTAAGTTAAAAAGATTAAGAAAAGGTTAAAAAGGAAAAGATTAAGTTAAAAAGGTTAAGATTAAGTTAAAAATTTGCAAATCGCGTGAGAATGTAATATTGTGGTGACATAGCGCTGAAAGGTGTGCATGGGAACTACACAATGAAACGACACAACTTCATTCTCGTCTCGACGATTTGTCTTGTAGATTCCGAAATGCCATCATTCCGAAATGGTTAAACGACTAGGTATGTGATGTTGTTATTGTCACGAGTTTTGTTGTAGGCGCTTTCCTCGCGTCCCGGACACACATCATACGCCACCATTGTCGACTCCACTGGCGCAACTCACTACGCTGCGTTTCGCAATTGCTACTGACGCCTCGCTGCGCCCCGCTCCGCCCCGGGCGGGCAGCGATGTTATGCTTTGATGTATACGCGATTCATTGTTTTTTTATATAAGAGGAGGAGGCAAACGGAACGGCAGCAGGAACACCTAGGTGTTCATCGACGCCCATGTTCATCTGCAAGATCAGAGGAACCACAGAAACGGTGTCGACCTTTGAGAAACGTTCGCTTCTTGAAGGACCCTAAGTCGTAGCGGGTTTCGCTCGTTGTGTAACACAAGAGTACGGTACATTTTTTACAGTAACATCAAAGACACTAGGCCCTATTGATGTATCCCCCTTTAACAACTCGATATTCATATAAGTATAATAGTATCTAGCTCGTCTATGTATTGCGATCGCGTCGTTTGAGTGCACAGAGCACAGAGCACAGAACACAGACAAGAGCAGCGCCCGCCGGCATCATGTGGCAGTGCCAGCCATTTCACAGCGAACATGAAAAATGCTGACGCACACTATCGCTGGATATTTTAAAATCGTTATTGTGTGTGTCAAGTTGTTTGCACACACGTTGTGTTATTACTTTAAAATTTAAAAGGCACGTCAAGCTTGAGCATCCCCGATACCTTGTTACAAAAACAATTGGGGGATTCGATTGTGAAATTGAGCTCCCGTAGTCGAGGTCGGCACAATAAAGAAGCAACGACTACAAAGGCACAGGTGAAGGCCGATAATGAAATAATTATTCGAGTGTTTATGCCATCCGGCATCGTAACGAGTCGCGTCCATCTGTCTGTGGAAGTGTGTCACGAATTGGCATCATTGGTTATGTCATAATTTGAATATTATAATGCGTTTCTACATATGTAGTATTCGAGGATCAATTAAATTAACCGCAACGGCAGCGGTGTAGCAATAGCAATGCTCGCAACACAACCTCGCCGCTTCCACTATATCAGATGACATACCATTGACGTAGGTATCTATAAACAAAATAATGTAATCCACCAAGAATAAAATGATTCAGTATATGAGATATGACAGTAACAACATCATTAAAGTGTGAGCAACAATAAGCGAGCATTGCGCAATGCACAAAGTGCACCATCGCCAGTCGCAGGTCGGCGCAGACGCTCTCCTCAGCAGCAGCATTGCGTGCCGCACTGACTTTTGTAAAGACAACATGTTGCGCAACTAACGGCTCAGTTTCCTCTAATTACATCCATTTCTAAACTCTGAATGTTGAAGAGTAATTGTTTTGCTTCACATTTAATCTTCGATTCTTTTTCGTAATCGCAAGTAATAATAATAGTAAGTGAGAAAAACATGTAATTATGTCAAAAATATTATAGTACGTCGAAACCGGTACGCTTTACACAACGATAAACTAAAAAAATGGAGATACTTCTTCAAAGCTTAACCGGACCGACGAATTCGATGCTCCACGAAAGAATAAATATTCTGAGAAATAAAATGTACATACACATTGTCATAAAACTTTAATTGGCAACAATGTCAATAGTTCTTAAAAATATGTAAGAAATGTTAGAAGGCATAAAAAGTTTTTAAAGATGTTTCTAAGGTCATCAAGTAAGCAATCATCATCGTACCAGGGAACGACGACCGCTCCCCCCCCCCCTCTCCAATGTGCCCCTCCCGCACCGCACCGCCCGTTATTAGTTAGTATCGCAGCACATATGTACATACGGGTCAAACTTGTTTTATTATATCTATTAATTAGCATACGTTTGAGACTTGTGTATTTGGTCAGACTTTTGTGCCAACTTTGGTACGTTTCAAGGCGATTGCGTCCATCAATATTAATCGAGCCTAGATTAGGAGTCACTGACCGCATTGGTCGCATAAACATTTCGTCTGCATTTCTTTTATTGATTCGAATGTCTGACATATTGTACCGAATGTGATCCTGAACTTTTTTTTTGTGGTTTTGACGGGCATTTTGTGTTAGAATGTATTTACTTAATTTTACATTTAACGTTAAAGTTAATTTTAAAGAAAGGAAAAGGCATATTTGGGACTTAAATCTCCACTTTATTACTAACAATATTTTTTTTATTTACAAACATACAAAAGAGATGGTATTTTATCACAATCACTGTCTTGTACTTGCGTAACCAATAAATTAAAAATAAGTCAACATCTGCGGACAGCACCGCCTCGCCTCCCCTGGACACCAGTAAACCTGGAAACTTCTAGAACGTTCTGGAATACAGATAACCTTCTGCTGTGTTGCAACATTCTTCCTTTTAATTTTTTTGTCCCAGCGAATATTTGATAAATAAATATTTTTTCACAGGTGACTTGTGTAGTAGTTTCTTTGTCATATCTCGGTAGTGGCAAAGATTTTATACGGGCCTGTTTTATACTGACACAATTTTGTAATTATAATATCGCCTTCTAAATTTACTGGTGTCCAAGTAATGTAATGTTGTTTGTTACAGTGAGGGCGTGTTGAGGGCGGCCTAGTGACGGCCGACCTGGTCCACCTGACTCTGCAGGTTGTTGATCACCTCCTCGGGCACCTGGTCACCCAGGATCAGCCGCAGGTCGATCTTCTGGTTGCCGGGGATCGACTCGTACGCCGCCAACTCGATGCCCTCCTGCACCTGTTGTTAATTTTACAATAATGAGAAGAATTTGACCATGTAAGTTGTTATAAGATTCTCGTTACAAGAGGACTCCAAATTAAAATATTTGTTATTTTTTAATGCCTTTAAAATCATGTCTCCTTGAACACATCTTTTATGTATTTGCACTAATAATGTGGTTGAAATACGTTACCTTTTGTATTTCGGCGTCTTTGGGTATGAGGAATGTGTTCTGTGCCTGCTTGATGGCCTCCTTGGTGAAGGCGGCGCCCTCCCGCTGCGGCGCGGCCCACGCCGCCGCCACCAACGCCAGCGCCATCAGAGACCACACGGCGAACCTCATCTTCACTTTGTTTGTTTGTGTTTTTATTACAAATACGCGCTTCTGAAACATATGTTTTGTTACTTTTAGCTATCGTGAAAATAGAATAGACAATGCTACGCTCCTCCTCCTCCTCCTCCTCCTCCTCCTGCTACAAGGCAAACTCTAAAACAATATCTTGTTGGAATAGATTGTGTTAGATGTTAAATCACATCAGTTCTATTATATTAGTTGTAGAAAGAAGAAGCTCGACTTCACTAATTCAATAAACAAGTTACATAAACACAGCGGCGGCTTCACACCGCGCGCGAAAGTCGACCCTCGGCCCGTCAGGTCCGGTACCACTTTTACTATTGACACAGAATTTTTCACTTTGAACGATTAAATTAGAGCCTTCCCCATAACGTGAGCACGAATTGACACTTTCTTATTGAATATTTATAGTAGAACAAAAAGGCTGGTGTTGAGTCTGGTGAAGGCTATGTGGGAGCTCACCTGCAGGCTGCGGAGTGCGGCGCGCGCGGCGCCCGCCCGCTCATATAGCCGCCCCACGCCCCGCCCGCCCCGCGCACCCGCCGCACACCTCCCCCGCGCCACTTTCACCGCGCCCGCGCCAGCGCCTGCGCCTGCGCCTGCGCAACCTTCCTCACCATCAGCCGGGGCTACGAAAGCGTCTCATCTTATCCGCTAATGTAATATCTCTAATAAAAAGCGTTTTTTTTTCTTTTTTTAGCATTAACACATTCACACCGCTCAGCAATACGTTAATGTCTAGGACTCGTTTCTCTTCACATGCTACTAAAGCCGGCCTCTGTCTTCTCTGTGTTTACATTAAAACTTATACCTAATGCAATTGAAATTGCAAATCAACATCTTAAAGAGAAACTCTTAAAATGTAAGAATAATCGTAGTTACGTGATAATCACATTCTAATTTGCGTTTATAAACCAGCGCGTTTTGTGGCCCAACATTGAAAAGGACTAAACGAATGCAGTACACAAAGGTAAGTCGTGCCAAAATAACATTGCATTTCTACATCTGTCCATGCCGCGTACAAACTACTCCAGCGTTCATTTACTTGCTTTTGATGATTTACAAATAAATGTTACGACATTTTGTCATTTCTCGCACATACACACTTCATGTGCACATATGCATACTCTTCATACTGAAGCAAAATAAATATAATATACGACTTTATCGTGACCTTGCAGCAATGAAATCTGTAAGGAGAGACGCTAACTGGCCAAATGACAGGTTGAACATCTGAAAGCAAATCTGCATCATAGTATGTAGAGAGTGATGTCTACATAAGCGTGTGTGTATGTGTGTGTATGTTGCGGGGTGATAGGTTAGGTGGGCAGCAGAACAGAGGTCGTTGTTGGCGGGGCGTAGAGTAGCACAGTGCAGACCTTCCTCCACTAGTGCGTTAGATATCATCATAAGTCTACCGTAAGCCTGTTTAATTATTTATCTTTGTGCAATATGAACTCTACATTCGTGAATGTCGAGTTACCGACACAAATGTTAGGTGCCATTTTAATATCACACACACATTTTCGATTTCCGACAATATATTTCTGCCGCTGCTTGTACATTGTTGATCTTTGAACAGAAAGAAGGAGCTTACGAATAGTTATTTACAACGATTGATACAAATGGTGTTTAACAAATACAGCATCCTGCTAGTTAAAACGAATTTTATATCGATACAAAATTCTTACCATTAAAAGCTTTAGCTTTTTTTATCTCACAAAACTATATAACATGTATTTTCTCAAGACAACTCTGTTCAGGAAGATGTCTTTATTATAATAATTGTAATTGATAGAAAGATGTATATGCTAATGTAACCGGTCTCTGTTTGTGAATTTGTATGTACACGTCGCCGCAGAGCCAGTTCAAATGTTTGCTCTGGAACTGATTCGTAGCCGGCTTTTATGGATTTGAATAAACATTTATATTGGAATTAATTGAAAAATGCTAAGGAAGAAATAAAATGTCTATGTAAAACAAATAACACAATACGCAACTGCAACGGGTCATGTAAATACATAATGTTAATAACATTTAGTTTGTGCACAACATATTATAGTCCAAAGTAATGGAATAAAATGTTTCCTTTTGGGTTACTGAGGAGCAAAGTATTCTGTAAGCCTTATTTAAAGTTCTATGAATAAGCCGGTTCTAATCTGTTCGGCAGGCGGCTCGCGTCTTACAAAGCATTGCTTGCTGCTGGTGCAGGGCGAGCAGCGGCCGATGTGCACGCGCAATCACTCTCTAGTTGCTACTCAAATCTCAATAACTGTAACATAATGAAAGTAATAACAGCATGTGTGCTCATCTAACCGCGCTCCGCACCGCACCGCACCGTCCCATTCACATTAATATGTAGATACGTTGCGGTGCAGTGCGGCGCGCGCCGGCGCCGGCCGCCCGTAAGGTAGAAACGAAAGTGAATTTTGAGCATCGTTGTACAGACGTTAGGGCTGTTACACAAAATTCGATAGTATTGCCGTTACGTCACCACCGCATTACGAAATAGTTCTGTGGTTCAAAGTTCTCTCACGATAAACGTCAGGGAAACTAAACAGCTGGAAGGAATTATTCCTTGCATATTCAGTAAGTAGTAAATAAATACCTGACAACTTTTTGTAATGGTAGAAAATATCGAGAAGAGCTCGATATCCGATTTATACATGCACTAACATTTAACTCATCAAAATGTATAATAGATATTTTCCACATCCATTTCAGCTATGGCATGTCTAAATCTTGCTTTTTACTTGAAGTTAAAGGCATACTTTTTCTATGAAACTTAAACATCGATCTCGATAAACTAAACGATATCTAGATAGATCTTGCTGAGCTCGGCACATCCCTACCGAGCTCATACAAGTCAAATTCTGTGCAAGTGTACGCGGAAACGTCTCGCAAGTAGTAGGTGAGCTCCGATCCGGTAGAAAGGCCTGCGCGAACTTTGACTAAATGACGACATCTTAATTAGAAAGGCGTATGTACTTCAGCTATAAGTAATATCCCTCAAAGTTATAAATAGTTACATCTGTCTGAGAATAGCATGTCTCGTAAGACACTGCTTACGACAGTTTGACCAACAAAGCCGTTAGAATGTTACTACTTAATACATAACATAAACATATGGCATAATTCATTCGACTTAATTATTTTATATTAGTTGTAAGATAAACAACCTGCTTAATTAGCTATAATAAAACGAAGAGTTGTCAATTGCTAGCTCACACAGCACGCTGTGCGATGGTGGCATGTCATGCGGTCACAGTGAACGTTGCCCCATTAGAACAATTCACCGATTTAATTAGAAGGGTCCTCGCAGTTTCCTTACATACACACACGTACAGAGTCTATGTTTCTTACTAAAGTAGTTTTATACAATACCTATTACTGTTCCTAGAAAATTTTAGGAATTATTACTAAAAATTTCCTAAATTACTAAAAATTTAAAAAAACATAAGAGAATTGCATACGAATGATTCATTCCAAAACAAGTATATTTAAATAAGGAACACATTACCATATAATATTGTTACATAAAGTTAGGCGCAGGCAGTGCAGGCAACAGTAAAGTCAAGTTTCGATGTCGATGTGCGGATTTGAACCAGTTTCCTTATAAGATAAGTAAGAGGGAACTCCGCGCCTGCGCCGGCTGGTAATTGCGTGCTGCCTGCGCCCCACTGCCTACATATCTATAGTGTCTCTCGGTTTGACTGTGATGCAGATGGCCGCCGTTGAGACTGAGCCTTGCTGAGGTCACTCAATACATTTTTCAATCCTCACTTATCGCCCGTCTCGTAGTAGTCAGCTAGTAGTGGAATATAGTCAAATCTTCTGACCTCATGATTGTGAACGGAAGCGTGACTTTTAAATGATATCTAAAAGATGTCAGGTAAAACTGCATTCCGCAGCCACTCGGCTCGGTAAGTACCACATCCGATGTAAGCGTGCTCCATGTGCAGTGTATTCGGTAGATTTATAAATATCAGGTGCCGAGCCTGTCTACGAAAACATTTATTTATTTTGAATCAATACGGAAAACTGAACTAGTTACTTTTTTCGATACCACCATTAGGTACCTTACCATTAGGTCTCCACTCTGCACGAAACTTCTATTCTAACCAAAAGTAAAAAATAAATAATTTCATAGAAAAATTGAATTTACCCTTATTATGATTGTTTTAACAGCGGTCATAGCAAACACACAGAAAACGATGTCCCTAGTCATTTACATATAAAATAACTTCTGCTAGTAAACTTAAGCCATGACGGTGCCAGAATATTATTTTAGTGATTATTGAATGAGAAAAATAACGGAAGGCAACTTGAGTTGCGTTGCATAAACCACAAAGTAAGTATGAATGAAACAAAATGAAACTACCAATTCAGTCTAATGTCTTTTATTTGTAAAAAAACAATAAGTATTAAATAATACAATGAGCACATGCGCTTATTGCCCGGGAAAAGAATCAAACGGTCTTCCGGAGCAAGAAGAAGCACTTGGAGTAATATCACTAGGAGCCTGACGCCACGCAGCACGGCGCCGGCCACCTCGAGCACACCGCATGCCGCCGCTGCTGTGCGCTGTTGCTGGCCCACGTCAACATCAACTGACAACAAAAATGTCGAAACCGCATCGGTCTTTAAATGAGGATACGGACAAACGAATGATCTCAAATGTTGTGCGCCCGAGCCACGCACTCACCTACCCCTACTTGTAGTCACTTTGTGCAACGACGAAGACTATGTGCGACAATATATACTCTAAATCATCTAGATCTATATTCATAAGGTTCATTTTTGATTATATCAAATTCGTTTTGTACCAAATTTTGTTGCATTTGTGTAAGAACGTGTACCGGCCGGCCCAGCACTAAGTTCTCTCAGAGTCCTACAGAAGTGGCGAATGTTCGGTGCGACTGCGCTCTGCGACTGCGCGGTGTCGGCGACGCGACGCGACGCGACGCGACTTCAGACGGCGCGCGCCAGCTCTGTGACTAGCTTGCTTGCTTACTTATCAATCGTTTTACTCACGTTTCTTACTAAAATAAATAACTTATCTAACGAGGAAAGTTGCGCCCCGATGCGAACCCGAACGCGAATGTAGGCGTCACTTCCCTAGTATTACATCAACATAACTATAAATAATTTGTCCAGATAGTACATCGGACCGGTATATCCTGGCCTCCGAAATCCAAAATATACAACCAGCCGAGAGTCCTCTCACGACCGGAAGTCGAATTGACGCGATAATTTTATATGACAAGGTAATTTATACTCTTTATATCTAATAGTCTCTACATTAACTTAAAGTTTCATAAACGAAACTTATTCACTATAAAATGCTAATGAGCCGAGATTCCATCGACAGTCGCGCGCCGCAATCACTGCGCGGGGCCGAACGCGTCCGTCGTCTGCGCCGGAATGTCAGCCACACTGGGCTCTGTGGCCGCCGCCTCCGACATCGGCGCTGCTGTTGTATCGCTTGCGGCGTCCGGGGAGTCAGTGGTGACCTCGCCGGCGCCGGGCTCCTCGGCGACTGGTCTCTCGTTACCCTTCTTCATGACCACCTTCGTTGGCCGCCTGTTGATCGTCGGCACGTAAGACTGCGTTATGATCTCTATATCTTTCTTCTCCGTTTTATTTTCAGCTTTTTGATCGGATACGTTGTCTATGATGGGCCGGCGCGTGGTCGGCTCCACTTTGTCGTTGGGCGCCGGCGAGTCAGTTATCGTGTCAGTGTCGTCCTCGTCTTCGATCTCGACGACCTTCGGCTTGCTACCTCCTTTATATTTGAATGGCACCTCTGTTATAGAATTGAGGTTCCAATTTTTATTTTTACTTTTGTAACCGGCGTTGACCGGTATCAATTCTTCGGAATCGGAAATGGTCGTCGGACTCGCAGTTTGGTGCTCCACGTCGGGCGCCTCGGTGTGGTCTCCGATGGCGGCCACGTCACCGACTATGTTAATCAGATCGGTCAGCACGTTGTTATTCCTGGCGCTCGGTTGCTCGATTAGAGCGGAGCTTTTTTCGGAGTCGGAAAATGTTTGAATAGATTCCACACCCGCGGTGGCACTTTCTTGAGAACCGAAAGCTAAGGAACCGATCTCTGTCGTTTCAAAACTTTCAAAAGATTGGTTTTCCACGTACGGCGGTACCGCTTTAGAAAGCGTAGTTCCCGTAGAATCGGTCGGCAACAGTTTGGTATTGCTATCATCCAGCGTCACTGGATCAACAGTTGAAACGAATGCTCTATCTTTGGTTATGTTTTCAGACGAGTCGTGTGGATTTTGGTCACTCGTTTCGATGGGCAGGGAGCTCAGTTCCGTCTGCGACGTCACCTCCGTCCCTACGTTTGACTTTGAAATAGAACTCGTGGTTTGTTCTCGAGGAACATGACCTTCGTTCGTCGGGTCCGAGGATTCCGTAGAATTGCCGACGGCTTCAAGCTCCTGGAAATCGGGATCATCTGTACTCGTAGGGATGCTATCGGCAGGATGGGAGTTAATCGCGTCACTGACCTCCTCTGTGCTGTGACCGGTCACCGGGGATTCTGCGCTCGGGGCCATCGTGCCGTCGCTCATCTCGACCGACAGTGCCGTGTGCGATGGCACATTTAATATCTCCGTGGGTAGAACGGACCGCAAATTAAGCATGGAACTCTCCCTCGATTTATATGTAACAATGGTGACACCTTCATCCGATTCAGTGATGCCACCATCCGAGGAAATTTCCCGGGGGTTTGGCCACGCGGCCGAGGTAGCTTCGGAAGTGTAGCTCGATGTAGTGGTGGTGGCTTCCTTGGCGGCGGCGGGCTGAGCAGCGGCCGCGGTGCTCGCTACGTTCACCGCTTCATGTGCCGCAGACATGTGTTCGGTGTCCATGTTTTGTTCCGTAAACATTTCTTCCTCGTGATTTCCTGCCACGGACAAGTCGTCAGGTATCGGTGGAAAAGCAGGATTATGATCGAACAAGGAAGTATCTTCTTCGTCTATCAAAGAAGATTTACTGGGAGGCGCCGAGGCTGCATTAGATGGCAAGGACGGCGAGCCCGCGGTGGCGGTGGCGGCGGCGACGGGCAGGCTGGCGGTGTAGATGTTGCTATTTATCGAATCCTGTGTCGAGAGACTGATCTTGGAGGGAGCAGCATCGTTGGTAGCTTGCGAGGCGCTGTCCCTCTCGCCGCCATATTTGGACGCTTCCGTGGGCGCGGAATTATTAGAAGATAACAAAGTTTCGTCATCGCTGATTTCTTGGGATTCAGGATTACCTTCAATTTTATCGATCTCAGATTTCTCGGACGTGGCCTCGCGCGGTATCAGTGGAGATTTAGACGAGGCATATTCTGCACCGTCGACGCCGGCCGAGGGTGGGATCTCCTTTATTTTCACCTCAGTGATAACTGGGATCTCAGACACGGGAGTGATTTCTTTGATTGTTATTTCATTTTTTATCGGTTTAAGTGGTTCCTCAATGGCGGCTGGCTCGACGCCGGCGACCACCTCCTCCAGAGCGGCAACACTCGGCGCTGCCGGCGCTATCCCGGGTATCGTTGTAACACCTGAAATACCAAAAACCAAAATATAAATAAAACCACTTTTAATATATTTATGGTTTTTGTCGTTTTACATATATATAATATGTACCTTAGTATTTTATATGTTACTACATATCTTGTGACTTTGCTTTGGCCGTGAATTATTCACTTGTTACATACGAGTAGTTTTTGTCTATAATCTATAATTATATAAAAACTAAACACTGATAATACTATGGGAATATTTTTATTTCGCGTTCTCGGGAGAGCGACCACAGCATGGCACAAGGCTAATGAATTTCAGCCGATAATATAAAATGGTCTCCGAAGTTATAGACTTTGCTTTTTCCAACCTCTGAGCGGGCAGTTGTCGTACTCGGGGCAGCAGCGGCCGGGCACGCGGCGCGGCGAGCAGTCGTCCCGCACGAAGCACGCGATGCGCCGGCAGACCACCTCGCCGCCCTGGCAGTAGCACACGCGGCACGGGTCCTGCGGGTCCACCAGCTTCTCTCCGTTGCCGTACACCCGCCCCTCCTGCTCGCACTCTGACACACAAACACCTCAACTTTACATAAGGAAACAATTAAGTTTTGGCGCTCTTTGAAAAGCGAAGGTATAGTTACGAGTATATACATAAGTTCAGTCAATTTAAATTTTGTGCAATTTTTAAAGTTTTTCCTACGACTACTTCGGTCCTGTTGTTAAATTGACACATTAAGTACTGGTGGAACATTCACCGTGTGCGTATGTGAGGTGTGAGAGGTGGGGGTTTGGTGTGGGTGCTCACCGCACTGGTAAGTGGGACAGCAGTGGTCGGGGCGGTGCAGCGCCTTGCAGCCGGGCCGCGGCTGACACTGCTGACGCTCGCACTGCACGCCGCCGCGCACGCACCGGCACCGCTCGCAAGCGCTCGTGCCACCGAACTCGTCGCCCGGCATGTACACCACGTCGCCCACCGAGCACCCTCCTGCAATACGTACAACGTCCGCATTAATGCCACTCCTTATACAACATACTCGTAAGCTGCTCAGTTTTGGCCAAGGAGAAATGAACTCCTTAAATAAATTAAAAAATATTAAAAACGGCGAAGCGTCAGTTGAACGGGACTGTTATAGGGTAACATTCTTACCTTCCTTGAGACCGAGGTCTAGGCTGGTCACGTTGGGTAGGGGGCCAACCGGTCCTGGAATAACATTATAGTACAATTAATACAGAGACAAGACAATAAAACCTGTGTACATTTAATATTTCTAGCTTGAGACTGGCGCTAGCAAAACATGTTGAATGATACTCGAGCCTTTATAAATAATTCTTTTCAAGTAAAATGAAGCTATTACTTTTATCTTTCAAAAAATTGAGTCTTTTGTGGACGAGAGGCTGAAAGAAAACCCTATCCGCCGGCTAATTTGAGGAGTCTTGGAGTGGCCGAAAGCCTTGCCGAACAAAGAAACCTCTCCGTACAATCCGGCGACTAATTGCCCTCCTCCCCCCTACCCTACGTTAGGCCCGCCTCTCCCACCACGAAAAACGAACCAAAAGCGATCTGCGGAGGAAACGCGACCCTCTCAACTTGCTCTTGTTAGTGAGTGCCTCCGTATTTTGCATAAATGTATCGTTGTGTTGAATGCATTCCCCATATTTTTGCCACGTAAGCATAAAAGCTTCATCTCCGACGTTGAATGGTCTGCGTCGTATAACACAATGTTTTTTTTATTTCATATTGTCAATTTATGAATAAATAAAAATGTACTTAAATAATAATTTCATATAATTTCGAAAGTAATAGATGGAAGATGAATTGCAGCGCTTAAAGTAAAATGTGACCAGTAGACAAAGATATGAGTCTGATCTTTTTTCTGTCATTTAATTACCCTTCTCGTTGATGTCCCATTTATTAAGTATGTTGTAAATTATCTTGATGAATAATAAATGTAACACAGATGTTGAGAAGGTGTACGAGAAAACATCAACGATGACAATAATGAAAAATATTTACTGCAGATAAAAATAAAAATCATAAAAACGACGTTAAAACCATTTGCATTTTTACCCAAAATATCGTGAATAATGATCCTCAACCCTCTTATCCGAGATGAAACGCGATAAATAACGAGGGTTGCAAAGGCCGCCCCTCACCACGCACCCCCCGCTCGGCCCGCACCAAGCACAGGCTTTGATTTATGTACCACGTGCCGCTATTCGTCGCAACTCGTAGTTTCTGACACCGGTACACATTTGCTATACGAGCTGGACTACACATCATATAAGAACGTACAACTTTGTTCTCACGTACATACGACATAGTGTAAATGTTGCGAGTGATCACTGTTACAATTATTAATATTTTCGGGTGCCATTTGCGTTATATTTTTGAATGTTTTGTAATTCAATTAACAGAAATATTTAATATTTGTATAAAACCTATTAAAATGTGGATTCGACAATGTTTTCATATATCATTATTCACTTAACAGACATTTTTAGATTTACTGATTATTAAAAGATTTTACAAATTGTTTATTTTATTCCCATTATAGGATCAGTTAAAAACATTTATGTGATATGATGCGCGGTGGTCCCGCAGCGCTCATGAACAAACAGAGCTCGTTTATTGCCCATAAAGCCGGCCGGACATTTTCCTAATGGAAAAATAACAAGAGCGCAGCACCCGGGGGTCGTTATATATCGCTTTTCACATACAACAAGTTAAATTGGATTGCCCTGATTTATATTTATTTTTTTATTGGTGTGTTGTAGAAATGTACGGCCGCCGGCGGCGCGGCGCGGCACAGCGAGGCGCGGACGCATCTCATGGTCACATCGGGAGGAACGCGGAAATAACTACAGAATTTTTTGTAAAAACTGCACAATATTCATGTCGACTCTTTGTTGAGGAGCTAGTTTAACTAATTAATGAACATTAATATTTATGTTTAAAAAAAAATATAATTAAATACGTTTATTAATATTACTATGTTACAAAGAACATCTTAAAAAAAAGTTTGAACAACCCTTAACTAAAGACTACATTTTGTTTAGTGTAGCTAAACATTTAAGAGCAATAACATGTAAAGTCATAATTTTACGGCCTCTTAAATTTGTTCGAGGAGTAAGCAATCCTGAAGGGTCCGAGGCTTATATTACAATGAATCCTGATGAGAGCGATTACATTTCTTTGAGACGATGTAATGTAATATGTAATAATGCCAACATAACTAATTCATTTTGTAACAGCATTACTCCGCAACCGTGAAATTGGGCATCGCGAGCGCGGAGCGTAAACGCACTAGCGTGCGGAACCGCTCGTGTCGGCTGCGGCATGTGCGGCGCGCGCGATCTGCGGCTGAGAGTCAGCGTGCGTGTCGTGATGTAAGGAACTGTCGTCAATCATTTGTAACGTGTTACGATGCACCGAAAATCCGCAAAATCAGGTAGACCTTAATTTCTAAGTTAGCTTAAAAGAGTTTTTTTTTATCATAAGGTGGCAAACGAGCGAGGGGGCCACCTAAAATCGCTGAAATAGCGAAGTGACCGTTGCCCATAGACATACGCAATTGCATATGCGTTGCCTACCTTTAATCGACGGAGGAAAGGATGCACAGGCATAAAATATTTTCCCTTCCCATGCATCCTCTCATCCGGAAAGCCAACTTCCACTTCCCATCCTTTCCTTACAAGAAAAGGGGTGGGAAGGGAAAGAGGACTAAATCTGGCCTCCGGGACGCCGACTCATCAGACTGCACGCGGAATTGCTTCCATTTCACGCCTGTCTTCTGTGTGGTCGTGGTATTTTCACTTGGCGAGCCGGGCCGACTCGTGCGAAGATGTTAAAACGGGCTCTATCACTGTTAGTGTTACCACTAACACCATTTGTTGATCGTAAGTTACATTTAAGTACAAATTTGGTTTTCTTAATAATGACTGAATGATTTCTTAATATCGTTTGTTATTTAAGTGTTAGTCTATCTCTAGTACAATGAGCACGTGCTCTAACAGCGAATATGTCGCTCGTGTCTCCTGTCGTGGATGACTCACCGATTGTTGAGCGCAGTTACCACACGCGCGGCGAGGCGAGGCGAGGCGAGCGCGCCTGCTTTAGCAACGCCGCTTTGTTTGGACATTTCGTACGCTATTGTATTCCAAATAATTACTTGCGTGTTTATACGCACATGTCATTTGTCACACAAGTTCTCTTTAGTTAGCGCATTAGTTCATTCTATTAAAATTATGGTTTCAAGCATATTTGTTTGGACAACAAACTTTAATTATCTTTTGTACGTATTTATATATGTTTTTATTTTATTCTCGTGTTTCCTCGCGTTACACACATTTAATTCAGTGAATAATATAGATGATTGCTCTGTCAACATATTAAGTATCACGATCATTAGTGTCTGATGACTCATCCTGCGGTACACAAACACAGTAAGCCACCTGAGATTTTATAAATTTTTTGAAAAACATGATAACGTAAAACGAGTCAAAGTATGCAGCAGATGTTACGTTAGGTATCGGATGCTCCAATGGTGTGTTCAAAGTGGGGTAAGAGGTGAGCAATCAAGTAAGATGAATATATGTACATCAGCGTCGGAGTGGCTAAAGATTGGACACGTCTAGCCGCGCCGATACAAGTTGCCAGCGCCGCGAGGTGCGCGCACAAACCTCTGCCTGCTCACGTTGATATCATGTAAGTATAAACAAGCCCGTGTTTTACTTAATTTTAATATGTTATGAGTAAACCGGCCGCTAACACGAAAACGCTCTCAAATAACGCACATACAAAAATAAACATAAAAACTAATTAATGTGTTTAATTTTCTTTATTAATGTTGAAAAACGTTTGGTTAAAATATTCGTCATTTATTGATACCGTTGTGTTTCCATACCTACACATTGTCTGTACCTATATCTAAATGTTTCCGGCGTGAGTGCTTGTGGTGGAAGTAAAGAAATAAACAAGGAAAGTGTGACAGCAACAGATTGTATCACACAGACGGCACAATAGAGGTGGAACAATGCGCAGCAACACAAGCCGGCCCGGCGTCGTTCAAGTGGATGACATAACTTTGACAAAGCGTCCATTTTCCTGCGCGCGGGCGTGCTAACGATGCTATCGGAGTAGTCGCGATCGCGTTGACAAATAAACTTCGATAGTAATATTCTGCAATAGTGTCACGTCGCGTGAATATCCCGCTGTTCCCCGTTGTCACGTGGCGGTAGTTGTGCGCCGCGTGACAAGACCCCGATCGTCGGAGAAGCGCTTCTGTGTGTCTCGCTGAGGAAACGTCGCTCCGACAGATCGACGGAGCTTCCGAGTGCAGTCGTTATTTGAACGTCTAGGGAATGCGTTCAAATTACGACCGGTAGTCGGAAGCGGATTTTTGAATCAATTTTTCTGTTCGCAAGACAATTTGAATAGAACTTTTGTGAGTTCTCAAATATAGAACAATATTTTCCAGCGTTTATAATATTGTTAACTTGTTTATTGAAAGAAATGCATTATTAAAATGTTATAACCGTGCATAATTAATGATTTAAATTAAATGTTATATTTTTATAGTTAATGCTTATTACATTTACCAGCTATGACTATAACTTTGTTATTATACATTGAAGATATAAACAAAAGTCAATTTTGTGACATTGTAAGTATTGCATCGAACGCAGCAGTGTTAGCTAGTTCTGCAACATATATATAAATGCTTTGCGTCAGGATTCTCTTTACAACAGCTATAATAACAATTATATTACTCTTATTTGTATTCTTGCTTAGTACCATCTATTAAAAATTATATGTAGTAGTAATTTGCAATATCGGGTGTTAACTACATAGAGTATGGTATTGTAGTGTTGCGGAGGATAGGTTAATTATGTGAGATGTGTGATGAGTCGGAGGCTACGGCGGCTGAAGCAGGGCGCGGCGGGGGGCGCGGCGGGCCGGCCCGGCGGCATTCCGCGCCTGACTCACCATGTCCCGCATGGTATAAGTTACTGTCCGCATTGTTAAAATGTCGTGTAAATCGTTGATTTTGATCATAGACATATATATCTGATTAATTTCAGAATATGCTACGTCCCAAGAGTATAATCAGCGTAAGAGGACCTGCCTTAGAGAAGAAATTAGAGTAATAATTGATTATAAGGAAACTCAAGTCTAAATCCATAACTAGTGAAAACTTGATATTGATGTACCAATTAACCTTCCTGTACCCGCGCCAAATTTTTTAACACCTATACCCGCGCACGGTGTGACAGACCGTAACTTTGACTCCTATTACCTAGTTATTTTTCTTCAAAACCGTTTATATTTTTTTTATTTTACAGGAGCTATAGGATGTAATAAAACAAAAAATACCAATTGTTAGCTTATACTATTTAATACTGTAATGACTATCAGTCTTTCCATAACAGCCTTAAAAACGTCTCATTTTTTCTTATAATCATGAAAAACAAACATAAAACTTTTTATTCTAAAAACAAACATAAATTATTTTAATTCTTAAAAATAAGGTATTTTGAGATCAACGTAAAATAAAATTAGTTACATTTTAGGCGGTTTATTTCTTTATTTGTCCACTGAACAATCCGAGTACAAACACTTTCCGAGAAAAATAGCCTCCATATTTCTAGCGGCTCTTTCGTGTTTCTAGCTTCACCCTTAGGTCCTGGGAGTTGTGTCACGAGATTCCTGATGCAGCGCCTAGCCTGGCTTGACCCAGGAGTTTTATTCCACCGCGTACGCCTGTCTTTTCCGATGTAATCGTTAGAGTCTGAACTTTCTTCCTCCAACAACAATCGAATACGTTCTTCATTCATTTTTGAAGCGTTTATAACCTAAAAAAATTATAAATCGATATAGTAGTTGTAAACAAGTAAAATACAAGACAAATCATTGCATAAAAACAAGTAAATAACACATAAACAAAAAAATATGACTTACGTAAAAAGTTGATCATGTACCCGCGTCGGTGTCACAGACCGATCAGACCGTATTAGGCCTAAACGTCCTGCTCGCACGACTGTGTCCCACGTACCAACCAAAAGCAAGCCCCAAATCGTGCAGCTAGCAGAAAGCGCGAACTCTCAAAGTTCTTGGAAAAAAAAATATTTACGAAAAACTGTTTCGTCGGTCTCACAGACATTTGCGCGGGTATAGGAAGGTTAAAAGAAATAGTTAAAAGTTTACAATAAAATTATATATTATACGTACAAATATTCTGTAGCAATATGAAAATGATTAGAACGGTAGTCGGCTTCAAATTACAATTTGTAATTAGCACGCACGCGTAACTGATTACCTAAGCTCAAACAAACTGCACATTACATTACGTCAACATTTATATGCATATGTTAGTTTGCTACACGAATATACAAGTTTCTGATGTTCTTTTATTGTTTCTAATTCGTTCATTATTAATTATACAATTTTCGACCTTCTTTACGATACACTACTTCCATGAGAATCTATTTTACATAATGTTATTCTGATATGAAATAATAATAAATACACCCTGCGAGAGGGCGCTGTCTCCACTGATTGACACTTACGTTGTGCTGACAACCTATTCAGCAGAATGCGACATCAGCGCTACTATCTTTAACGGCGGAGCTGCTGGAAAACTTCTACCCTCTGTCAGCTACATTCCTCTACACAGCTTAAAACTCTAATTAACTTGCAATACAAACTTTTTGCGATGCTCTCGTATAACTTCACCATTAAGGGCCAGTCTAGTCCGGTTTTTGTGGTGACCAAGATATTCCATTCAAACGGATCGAGATAATGTAAGCGAAGTGTTTTATTACTTCTAAGATGTACGATTGTTGAGTTTATAATGAAGTCACTGTCAGTACACAGACGGGCATGCGCATTGTGTGCTCCACTCCGCTCCGCCACAAATGTATTATTTATTCCAGCTCATTACACATAAGAAACGGAATAACCATAAAAATAGAAATTTGCTTCTGTGTAAAATAACCCAAAACAATAAAGAATTATTCGGAAAATTTACCACATCAATGCGATACTAATCAATGAATAAAATAGTTTCATCCTCTATATAGTCAACTAATGTTTGTATAGAAAACTTGAATGAATCTCTCATCACTAAGCATTAGGTATCTTTGATAACACTCCATCTTCGGACTTATTCAGTTTCAAATATAATTATACATCTGAGAGATGATGTTATCCACTCGTGCAATTCGAGCGAGGCGGTACAAATAAAAGTTGAAAAGATTCTCTGCCGGAATGCGAACCAGTGGACCTTGACCCCGCCTAAATACGACTCGCCGCTTCCGCGAACAAGTCACTTGAAACGTATGGACACAGTGTATAGTACAAAGATGTCACATACTACAATTCTTTTATATTTCTTCTTTTATTTCATACAATAGAACATTAAGGAAAACCTCGTTAAACATAATAATTAACTACAATCATTGTAGAAATTTATTACAGCAGATAATAAACTTTCATCAACGTCTCAGTCTACCGAATGTTGCTACTCTGTGTCCTAACAAGCGTTATGTCAGTCGAATGTCTCAAATCAAGAAGGTCTCGTCTCACAGATGCGCCATGATGTTACTATTCCATACATTTCCTAACACCATGCCATGACCACAAAGCATAGAACATGGAGACAGAGTGGGCAGCGTCCACACGTGAGGGTCAGGCGATATTCCTGTACGCACTCCGTCGCAAGGTGGCGCCTCTGCATCGAACAAAGTGACTTTTGTAGTAATGTAACAAGATCTTACTGGTTGAAGAAGATACTGTTGCTTTGTAATGGACACTAAGTGATTAAATACAATGTGACTAAAGACAGGGAAGCCGGTAGCACTCCTCTGATTATAACACTGAAAAAGAGAATGATTGGGAGTTTATCCGCAAAAATATCAGTCTTTTTTTTCAATAATATATTTCAGAATATTGTTTAAAGATATTGCGACTATTGTCTATATAAAAGAAAAGTATCAAGGTGGCAGTTAGCAGACGGTGAGACAGACGCGCTCTAAGCGAGCTTATAAAGTTCATGGGCGAGCTTAAACTTTTAGTAAAGTCATGCCTCAGTCAACGTGAGCCATGGCGCACAAAGTGAGTCACGGCGCTCAGTAGTCTATGCTTTGTAAACAAACTTATGTGACCACGCGACGTATTTATTACATAACTATGCTTAAGTTCAAACGATTCAATTATGTTGAAATGTTGCTTCATATTTTGTTGAAGAAATAACAAATTACGTTTTAAGTTTTACAAAAGATTCCTATTTAAATATCATAAATATTTTGATACTTGAAAATTAACGCCATAGGTATTCAAGGACTTTAGGTAGGTTCATCTCCTGTTTACTACAAAAATGGTGTGAAGGAGTAGATGTAGTTACATAATGAATATATGTGTTGTATGAAGTAAGTACATACCCGCGCTGCACTGGGAGGCGAGGCAGAGCGCGGCGAGCAACGCGCGCAGAGCCCTCGCCACAGGCATGCCGCCCTCACACCTGTAACACAACAACACATCACATTATCATTCTTATTTATTATATATTCTCTTACAATATTCTTAGTTAATTAGTTAGCCACAATCTCTTCGATAAGTATAATATCAGTCTGACTAATTTTGTAGTGTCATCTTAAATTGAAAGGTTTATCGAGGCGACATCGAACAAGGAAAAGCCTGATCATTACAATGGAAGGACACTGATGGCGTCAAATAATACACAAACAAGCAATATCAAGAGACTTAAATAAATGACGAGTCTCGACTTCTTGAATTTTGTTACAATTGTTGTCCTGATACTATCAAGTATCTATACATTTTTAACTTGGGATACAAAGGGTCTCTGGTTAAGATAATCTTAAATTATGTTAAGTTATGATCTGTTTCAGCGCGCGTTGCATCACAATTATCATGATTGCGATCAAATAAAAGCATAATATGCGGGACAAAAAGACGGAGGCAGAGTGCGCAGGCACAGGCGCAGGCGCAGCGCATAGCTGCAGGTCGTCGACCTAGCTGACTGGAGCCTGGTCGCTGGACCTGATGCAACTCGATGCTTCGCACACGACTTTTTCCTTTTAGAATTGATCACATCTCATAATGAGAAACACTACGAGGTCAATCACCACTCCTCTACAACTGCATACCGGATCTCTTATTATATTTATTTCATTCTTTACAGTTTGAATTAACGGGAGATTACAGAGAACATTAAAAACGTTATCAGATAACAATATTTCTTCTACATCGTTAGTAAACAGTGTTAGTCTAGATGACTAACATTACAAAACCCATCGTCGGGTCCGTCGAGCAAAATGTAACTATATTTTGACTTAGCTCCATCATAAATAACAATCAAAATATCTTGAAGTTGCCATAACTTTAGTAATTGCAAATGCAAAATACGTTAGGGGGAAATCCCGGGCGCGTGGTAATCCAATGGAAGCGAGATTAAAACAGCGACTCGGGGTCAACGAACTGCACCCATACACCTTGTTAACGATGCTTTAGAAAGTACAAATGCTCCAATATCGTATAATTGACAGTTAGACGCGTAACCTCGTTCCGTGGTGTGCGACCGGGCGGCGCGGAGGCGCGGCGGCGCGGCAGCGCGGCGTCGGCGGCAGATGCTCGGCCGATGGCCCATATCTCCGCTGAGAACGGTCACAAAGGGGAGCCGTCAGGTAATTCTGTGGCCGGTGGCCGGTAGTCATTTTTCAATCGCAGCCTCAATTGGATGATGGACCTCGCAGCTACCGCCCGACCCCCGCCTTCCGTGTGAAGAAGACTCGGAAAGTCCACTAATGTTACCAGAACCGGAGACTCCTCAGTCGGCAGTATATAACAATGTATAGATATATATGTTGTATATGAGATTCTGGTGATGTAGCTCAGACGTTTTGAATACTTTACACCACCGCTTAGGAATTACATCTTCATTTTGAAACAGGCTTATGTGTTACATAGTTTTTACCGATTACATTATGATATAGATTAAACGGATTCTTTTAATTATTTTCCAAGAAACCGAATGATATATAGTACATGCCTTTGTGCCTTTCATGTCGAAGCCTATTCATCCTTATAGCTTGCCTTGTCATTAATTAACACAGATTATTTAACCTCAGACAGCACAAACCACAGACCGCAGAAACCGACAGATACAAATCTACATTTTGTCTCAATGTCAGTACTCTCACTGTATATGGAAGACGAACCGGGAAATGCTAAAGTAATTTAATAAATATGATAATTAATAAAATTATATGCACATTTTTAAGCACTTACATAAGTTGCTTAATCAATAAAAAAAATCATTAATAATTCATAAGTGGTGGCGTATTTATTAAACGTGACATGAATTTTATTATTTAAAAAATACCGCTCCGCTCAATTTGAGCAGATTACAAGCTTTGTAATTAAATTATATCCAACAAGCGTAGTTTGTTCCAGGACCGGTTTTAGCATTTCCAGTCCATCCATTCATCCATCCGTCCATCTAAACATTCGCATTTTTATTAATAAGACGAGAAGAATTAGGGCTGTGTTTTTGTAGGTATACTTCATTTATCCTCGTGTAGTGTGTACGTGCTAGTTGGCCGGCCGAGTGACGCACGCACAGGGCCGCCTCGTCTGCATCCAAAGAGTCACGTCTTGCGCTCTCTAAAGGGAAATTATCTCATAGATTGGATTCAACAATGTCCAATTTCTTTCGCTGACTGATTTGAATTTAAAATTTCGGTAATTTATTTAAAAGCTCCGTATTTCGCCTAAAAATGTTTTCTCGCATTTTTTCTAAACTCAGCTAAATGCAATAAAATAGCTTTGTAGACATCATACATCGTGTATTGTTTGTTATTACATTTTAACACTATGTTATTTGACTTTATCGTAATACGAGAATCTGAACCAAAGAAAACTACCAAAACTAAAAATAAATAAATAAATAAACTACTAATTAATTTGCGAACAATTAAGTTGTCTTCTCTGGTATAGATTTTGACTGGAAAGTATCAGATCAGAATTTCCGTAAAATGTGAAGGCGTTCGTTGACCCAGTGTGCCGGGGGCGCACTGCACCGCTAGGTGGCGCCAGCGCGTGGTCGCGCCTCTCTCCCCAGTCTTTTTTTGCAATTTTTCAATTTGTTCGCTTTGATTGCTTTGCGGTTTATGTTTTTTGTGATAATTCTTCGGTTTCCTGACCCTGCGCTGCGCCTGCGCGGTCAAATACCTCTATGTGGTCAGTTGGCGTTTTACCAGCCGGCTCAATAACAACGGTATAATTAATATTTTGGTTTCAATAATAATTCTCAAATTAGCAAAGGCCATGTTTGTACGAATCCCTTAAAAATATATATGGTATGAAGTATACAACAATAACAAAAAACTTTAATGATATGACTTAAGCTTGACTTGACGAAGACTACCGACTTGACGCTAGCAACAACCTTCGTGTCTCATTATTCCCGCCAGTTATTTGATTGACGTCGCCGCAGCAAAGTACCTGTACCTACTTGTCGTTGTGTACTCAGCATTGACGTAGAGTGCGCACGCAAATAGTTACGGTCGTATTTCTGCTCGATTTGGCCTCAAATATTGACGGCGGTGTCTAACAAGGCGGCTGCAAACATTGACTCGGCCCTGATTTGTGAACTGTTTGCGCGCCCCATGTGTGCACGTGACGTCACTCACAATTGTCAATACAGCATTCGTGTTGGGACAAACTTTAATTACTTTGCGTTATTTACCAACGGTACCAAAAGCTTGTTGAAAAAAATTACGAAGTTTAGTGTGAGCTCTAAGTACTTTCTGATGGTTTCTTAACAGAGCTGTCGCTGCGACTAATTGAGTCACACTCATTAAGCATTTCGGTCCACTTTCGTCGACATCCGCGCACCGTCATAGCGTCACGTCACAATATATTTCGTCAACATAACATCTGTTAATTTACATATACTATCCTCTGCGAAGTAATTTAAAGGCGAGTGTAGTCAACCAGTCTGTTTCGTGCAATGCCAACGTATTCCATCACCATAAGGGTAGCCTCAAGTCCCTTTGTGGGGACATATATTATGTCATTGTGTCGTAGCGAAAAAAAGATTAACAAAATCCAAAACATAATTAAAATCGTTAAATTCAACACATTAAACTGATGTTTACAGTTAAATTCTAACTGAAGGCGACCTTTCATATTAACAGCAACATGATTATAGGCTGAGGTAGTTGACCGCGCACACTCACACAACCGCACAACTAAAAGATAACCATTTGGAAAAATGTTAACATTCAAAAACAAAATCTAACCTCAAAATAATCAAAGCAATGATAATATATATAATTGAGAAATAGAATCTCATAAGTAATAAATAACGTTACGAACATTGAACTACATTTAGGAGTTAACATAATCAGCTCGCTAAAAACATGTAGTTAGAATGACCCGCCCCCCCGATACAAAATGGTGCCGGAAGTTTTAAATGACAATGTTAGGATTATAACATACATAATATTCGAGGTCTGTACTAAAATTGAGGTCTCAGCTTTATAGTCATAGGACACGAAAGTTGTGTTTGTGTAGAATCAACCAAATAATATTATTTCGTTCTATTAAAATAAAATAATTGCATTCGTCGAGGAAATATAAAAACAACCCAAAGATAGCACACAGTTTGCGTGTAACGAAGCTATCGATGTCAATTACGAATTATTGTTATGGAACGAATGTCCATTGATGATAAGTTGCTTCGATGTCTATCTACCGTGTGTCACTAAGGAATGACCCCACACCACCCCACGTTGAATCCGGGCGACCACATAGAATATGTCTTTCTTATCGAGAGTTCAATCTACGTTATGACGCTACGTAATATGCAAAGAATGTTCTCGCTTTATATCGAATTATATCATTGTAAAACTAAGTACATATATTATAGAACATTCAAACCGAGCTATCGGATAGAACATTTTTTCTTAATCAAGATAGAAGAGCTACAAAAAGTCAATAACAGGAGAATATGCTCGGATGAGACCGCGTTCGTGCTAGTGGTAATATCTCCAAGGTATGTGCAAATGCTTCGTCTGCCGCCGCAAAAACGTGAGCAAAAAGTGTCCGGAGTTGTCGGCGGGCATCGCAGGCGAGGCTCGACCGGCGACGTGACTCAGCCTTTATTTGGTTTATCTACGCAACGACGCCGCGCCGGTCGCAGGTATTTTTAGACTCGCCTGATGAGCCATCTCTAATGATGCTATCAACTTTTGCATATGCAACATGTTTGCTCGCTGCACTTGCATGATACATACCTCGTAGTTAACTTTATGCATTACGCAGCAATTTACAGACCATGAGATTAAGGAAAATCAAACACTCCTCTGAATTCTCTGAAAGTATCTGAAATTGTACTACATATCGCAAAATTATAAAGAAGTGATCTGTTAGGCGACATGTCGGACGTTGGAACAGTTGAGCAAACAGAGCGCTCTGATGCTCGCGTAGTAAATACGTTGAAGTAATTACAAAGGGGTATTGTTGAGGCTCGGCCATTGTGCTCAGTTTGCAGAAGGCGGTGTCGCTCGAGGCGGCTGCTTCCGCCATCGCTTCCCTTTATTTTATTGTTTGTTGCTACGACCTAGTGCGAGACAAGTTGGCACTATGACCTGTTGTGTTGTTTGCCCTACGACCTGAATGAACAAGAACAACAATATTACATTTAAGGATTTTATTACCGATTTTTCTTCTATTTTTCTTCCGACCTCTGCCAATTTATCAAACAACTTAACTTATAAATTCTGAACATAATCTTGTATAACATGTATTTAACGTATGTTGATTAAAACTGTATGTGTGAGAAATGCGTAGTTTTGCGAAAATAAAATCTACCATCTGTTTGTGTAACAGTACATGAAACAAAGTTAAAACAATGTCCATGGTTTTATTGTTAATGTTGTTGTGTTGAGCGCGTAGCGAGCACTGCGCAGTGAGCAGCGAGTGGTGGAGCGTTGTCAAGTTGTCAATGACCCAGTTAGGGAGGTGTTTCGGCAGACGAGACACGATGCGGGCTCTGACATTGCAATTACACCACGACATTTATACAAATGTTATACATATAGATAAGCTCCTATAGAATACTTTTGATACTTTATGATACTACTAGATTTTGTTCCCGCGAAAAAATAATAATATAGACGATGTTACTGAGTGATAATTTAGCTTTCTAATGTCAAATGTACTTTTTACACCGATTTCAATAATTTTTGAGTTTATATGTTACATACAAAAATAGAAATCACAACCACGTATCGTTATTGAACACTCTTATGTTCAATTCATTAATAAAACCAACAGTTTAATATTTGAGACGGGCTATTGCCAAATTGACGTAATTTAACATTTGCGTAGATAAGAAAAATTGTGCATTATTTAGTGGAGCATCATGCAATGCAAATAATAAGAAAGGTTCCCGCATTTTTTGTCTAATTAGCAGCGTGAATTATTCATGACATAACGTCGAGCAATCGACAAGTCCGTGACCTCATGTTGTGACGTCATCTCATTAAACTTTAAGTTAAGTTACCTCACTTGACTAATAAAAAATAAACATAATCATGTAGACATATTAATATTTTGTGATACACTTGCGCATCTTTAAAATGTGAGTTTAGCAGACAGGGGTGTGGGGTGGGGGAGGGAGGTCAAAGGTTTGATCCGGAATCTCCAGCTCATTGCCGACAGACAGAGCAACTGAATGGTGAGTCACGAGACACGACTCGCGGCAGCTAGTGGACACTCACCAAGCAAAGGTGAGTAACTATGACATTTTAGTAACGTTTACCTTCATTATGCCAAGGATCAAAATAAAAACAAAATAATACAATAGACATTGCTGATACTATTTACAGATATTGCTTTGATAAATCCCTCTCAAATTTACAGCCACAAAAATATTCACGCAAACTGAAATAACAAATAACTTAAAATAAACTAAGATATTTATAGAACCTGTCGTTCTCAAGGTACACCTACGTAGCATTGAGAAATTCCCTCTTTAAATATTCCCACGTTAGCCAATGCGTCCCGTTACGTCCACACCTGGACTGTTGATATAGCCCGGCCACTGGCCACTTGTGTGAGTTGCCACCGCTGGCCAGTGGCCTCCAGCGACCGCCGCAACGAGTCCCTGCAGCCGGTTTAACTCCCAGCTTATTTTAAGTCTCAATAAGAAACAACAGCACGTCAGCACTAAGAAATAGTAAGCTTGTGCCGTTATGTCCCAAATCTCTAACATCCCGCCAAACCTAATACAGATCGCTACTGATGAAAAAACATCCTGCCCGATTCTTATCATCTTCATTGTTTCTTCTGACAACCACTCAAATGACGATATTAATCAGTACAAAACAATTTGTTAAGAAAAATATTAAATCAACTAAAATCCAGCCCCCAGCGAAATCATGCTATTCGAAACATATAAACATTGTTTTAGTAAAATAACCATAAATTAAAAAAAAACACCCAAGAGAGACAAATAAATTAATAAACTGAAATTAAAGTATTAAAGTGAAATAATACATTTTATATGTATATCATATATTACTATTATTTTATGCAATTTTATAATCGATTTGCACTATCTCAAAATCAATCAATCAATTTATCGACAAAATTAAATGTAGGATAAACATTCAAAAGGTAAAACTTACATGAAGTCACAGTACAGGAATAAAATAGCACAAAATCAAATAAGTTCCTTGTCAGAGTTTGCACATAAACACAAATTAGCACAAAATGTACGACGACGACAGGCAACGGTACCCCAACTACTTCTATTGAATATTCGCTGCGCTGTTCGGTTGTGCGACACACCGCGCTCTGACGTCACACCACCACTCGCCTGCGCCGCGCACAACACACTGACTGAACTCGCGCCAATATAATCATACAAAATTTCAACGCTCCAAACATAGCTGAGGTGTCCGAGTGGTTAAGGAGTTGGACTTGAAATCCAATGGGTTCTACCCGCGCAGGTTCGAATCCTGTCCTCAGCGATCTTTTTGTGTATTTTATTTTTGTGGAATAATTTATAGATTTTTTAAATAATGAATATGATAACATTTTAGTAACATTATATTAGTGACTCCAATCATATAAATTGTTTTTCAGTTCTTAAATCTGTGAATCATTACAATATTGTATTTGCCGTAACTGACTTTGTGATTACAAATGTAGGAATTAAAAGCCGCACAAATTTCGAATGGTATTTTGTATTAAACCCGTTCCGAGGTAACGCTTCCCTTCCATGTAAAAGAGGAGGCTCATTGGGACAAAGTGCGGGGGCAAGACAGGCACGGCGGTCACGGCGGGCACCGAGACAGTGACTCTAAACGTAAACACTGCGCTTGTTATCACTTAGCCAGCTTGCCAACCCCGCCGGCTGCGATGTAAACAGCGCACCAACATGGCAGCCACGTCTAAATCAACAAGATTTATTCTAATATATTTTTATTAATTTGTACAAAAAGATCTTATGCCATCTAAACGAACGCCATCTTGTTTTCCGAATCCTACTGCGATTTTTAATTAGGTTCGTTAGAAAAGCTATATTACTTCGAGATGGATATTGATATAGATCGTAATTACTAATTTATGAGTATGAGGATTGTGTTAATGGTATATAAGACATAGAAATAGTTGCTTATTTTATTCAATGATGTAATTGTTGTAAATACTAATATAATTATAGCATATCTATTCTCATTAAGAAGCATGTGTATTGTATTGTACTGAATCAGTTTAAGTTAACTAACAATAATTTCAAAGAACTACTAATGTTACTTTATCTAGCGTGTTAAATGGTCAAACAGTATTGTTTCTTGGAAAATACATGAATGTATGGAGACTATTGCTCTATCTTATTCATTACTAACTGACGGTCTTTTAGCCAGCAAATTATTGATATTTTTAATTTAACAACAATAAAAGACGATATTGTTTTTTTTTTAATATTCTGCGTTTTAATTTCCGTCTACGATACACTAATTTAAATGTTTTTGATTTTGTCTCGTAAAACTTACTTAAAACAATATTTTTGAAATTCTTCTCTTATTATTGTTATTCTATTTCTTTTGTTTCCGTGAAGTTAACTATATTTTTAGTGATTAAGACGTAATTATTTTCATTTTAATGAATTTACAAACTATTTTGTATTTTAAATGTTAATTAATCACCGAGTACTCATTTGTGCACATAAAATAAGTGTTCATTGATATTAAGATTTTCAACCTTGTAATAAAGTAGTGCGGTTATATCCACAGTTCTTAAAAAACAACTTCCTTGTTTAATGAAAAAAAATCTTCACAGAGGTAAAACGTTATAATTTAGATACAATAATCAATGGAGCTACAAAGAGGCTACAAGCAACAAGCTACAAGCAGCAAGTACCATCCAAAGATCGCAGTCAAACAGCGCCGGCGACCTTCGTGATACGAACATGGAATTTAAATTCGTCCTAAAATACGCGGGCGGTTTTCCCGATGTTGCACAACACACTGCGCCACTGTGGACGCAGCTGCCGGACACATATGGCACAGATTCGACTGTTGTTCAACTAACACACCTAATAAAATACTATTTTAATGTTAAACTCCGGTATGCGAATAAAAAATTAATCTGATAAACATATTTCCGCATTAATTAAGATTCCATTTGCTTCGTCGATGATACACGGAGGCAGGATCATAGCTTTTTAATCTTATAATAACCTTAAGTAAGTATATGAACCACTATGACCAAAGAGGATGTATTGTGTTGTGCTACGCGAGCCGGTTATCTCATACTATTATAAATACGTAATAGTTATTGCACTTGAAAATGTCGGCCATGACATGTTGTATCAGTTGACTGTTTAGCGCGTCTCTACGCACGCAGATACAGTTCAATGCAACAGCATTGATGCGACGCTGGCGTGGTGCTGGCGGGCGGGGGCGGGGTGCGGGCGGCTGGGGACGGAGGTTGCGGGAGGTCCTGCCCTCACGACGTTCACAAGCCACCGTTAATTATTATATAAACGTGGTGATGTTCACATCATTTGTACTCGAACTATATTCGTATGTTTATGTTAGGCCCATTTGTGTATTTTAGATCTAATTCACACCGGAGCCGGTCAGCGCGAGGGTCGACATTGGAAACATTTTTGACTGATTTCGCTTGTAAATAGTGACGAAAAGTAGGCATCTGTGTACAATGAGTTGAGAACAATAGAATTGAAGCTATAATAGTACCTATATGTTCAGATTCAATGATACGATAAATCAAAAGAACAAACTCCACGCGCGCATACTAATGTATATATGTAGAGGAAAACCCTGGGTGAGTCAGCAGCGCAGTTGCCTGGTGCTGCACGTGACACCAGCGCAACATCTCCTACACGACAACTGATGTGCTCGTCACAGGCACATCTTTACAAATGTATTAATACAACGTGTTTCCTAACAAACAAAACCAAACAATCAATATGACAAGATTCTAGTACCTACTGAGTTGAATACAAATGTTTTTAAATGTGTTACTAAAAACTCAACACGCTACGTCCACGTAACGATGATGTGACGGTTAAATTCGATTTAAAAAATTACAATTTATTTTCCCGGCGTCACATTGATTTGTTTGTTTCTGTAGGGTAGAAAAGTATTTTATATTAAAACATTATTCAGTAAACTTTCCAATTCATTATACTATTTTTGTAAAGGTTGGCGGCGATGCAGCTAAATGAAACAACAGATTTTCAATATGGGCGCGCACTGCACGTTCGACGGACGACATTCGGCTGCGAAGTGCCGACCACCCTCCAAATTCACTTTATTTTTTATATTGAAAAATTACCAAGTATATTTTTATCTACCTTGGTATAAGTTAGTAGTTAACAGATAACAAATAGTAGTTATTGAAATAATGTAGAATATAACATAATAAAAAGATTTTTTTATTATGTTTTATTTAGTACTTCGTCGTCCTTAGTGATACTTGTTAAGCACACGTCACATGTCGTTTTAGCATTGAAGTATATTCTATGCTATGACTACTTATTGAGAGTTAGGTATCGATCTAGGTTGCCTGTATTTTAGGAAAGCGTCGTCAAGGACCAGCTTGCAATAGTCGTTCATTGTTGGCCACTCGGCTAATCGGCGTTTAATGATGCATTAATAATAGCAAAATGAGTCTAAGAATATCGTCAGCTGGAAAATTATATAGACTATAACCTAAGTCGCCACAATCGACCAGAATTAAAAAAAAATAAAGCGATGCCATGCATTTATAATATAATCTTGATGTCTGGAGTCCAATGGCAAAACTTTCTACGTAGTTTCGTGTCAAAACATATTCTTTGATGATGATGAAAGCGAATCGAGCTCCGTATTACCCACGTTCTCTAACATATTGCGATCGTCTGCACGACACTCATGATCAGTTGTCACGATACTTGTCTTCTCGCCAGAAATCAAAGACATAAGAAAGTCGGAAACCTACAAACAAACAGTGTAATTTGAACCCCCGACAGTTCAATCGGATCACGTTCGTCGCGACACAACGCTAGTATAAGTTTAGTATAGTAAGTTGTGTTTCAGTTTTAAATTATATAACTTTGACCTTAATTAAAATAAAAACTAATAATGTGTGCTAACATAAAATATGAAAATCCAAGCGTCAGTTAATACATATATGAATGTGTCGAGGATGCATCTCGTTACTCCTATATTAATTACGACCGGGCGACGTGACGCGGCGTGACACAAATCCACAATATAAGCCCGGCCTCGGAGTGGGATTATACGGCAGATTATGCCCTGATGAATAGAATCAACCCCCACCCCTACATTTACACTGCGACCTCTCATCTCATCTCTTATGCTGTAGATGTTGTTCCATACTTTAATCCAAATCTCATCAAGCTCGAATGTAAATGTAAAATCTCTTATAACTTTATATCATATTTTAAAGAAAATAGTAAAAAAAATAAATATTGTGACAAGCCATGCAGGGGTTCACAGGTCATTGAATCCATACTTATTTGCCTAAAACTTGGTCCTGTATTACATTACAATATCTAGTTGGCCTCTCGCTGTGTGACACGAATAGTCTAATCATTTCGAAATAACTGCTCTAACTAATCCGCTAATCTCAGAACAGTCACTCGGCTAGTTCAAATCCTCGGCGTGTTACAAGGTCATCGTTGTCACGGCAACGGGCGGCGACGGCGGAAGCGAGGGGGACACGAAAGTAACGACTTTCACCAGCGGACGACGACGAGCGACGAGCGACCAGTGATCAGCAAACGCCGGCGACGCGACGGTGGACGGTAACGGTGCCGTCCGATTGCCATAATTACGACTTTATCCTAATTTCGTCTAGCGCGTAACGGTCCGAGCGGTCCTGCGACGACGAGCAGACGACTTCCAGTGTTCAGACAAAGCACTGTTACAATATAAAGTTCCCACCACACTAACTTACTCTGTGCAAGTTTTAAAATGTTAGAGAAATGCCTATCATAACCGTTTGAGTATATTGTGAGATATGCCGAGGTGCCACAATGTATTCCAAATTATGTTTACGCTCCGCCGACAATGGTGCCACGCCAAGTTAAAGCGCCAAATGTATTCTCGTCAAATCTTTATTAATTTGATGATTTTTATAATCGTCCACAATCAATACCGCATGTGCGTACATCTCATTCGCTTCTAATTTTACAACAAAAAAGGTTAAGATTTAGAAAAAAACTTAAATATTGAATGTTTAATCTAAGCTTGTTGAATCCTTAAGTAAAGTGATAAGCGGGACAAACGAGATGACTCACTATACGAGTACTACAGGTACAAATAAACTGAATACATATAATTTGTCTGTTCCTTATCTTGTTAGATGTGTGA